AAAGTACATGTTGTAAGTTAGCTACTATAATGATTCAACCTTGATATTAAAATTCTGCTAACTACATTAAAAATAAAAAAACACATTGTAGTTTGTGTAGGACTTGTGTGGCCTAATCTTAACCATGCTTACTTAGAAGAAGAGACCATAGTACAATGGGGCTTTTCATCCAAGTAGCTACAGTTAAGGTTTGCACTAGGTTACATTTGAAGTTGAGTGATGGGGGGGAAAATGGTGGTTCTCTGGCCCAAATGGCTAGTTAGTGGCACTGTGTCCTCTTCACAGGCTCAAGTGTATCTATGTATAATTTGTGGATTGGGACACCCCCATATCCCTCCACAAGAATCATGTCCCTGTTGTAATAATGTTTGTCTGTCACTTTCCCCCAGGGATCCAAGGGCTCACTTGTTTGACTCTGAATCCAAGAAAGAGTGGAATTCTAAACCACACCAGAAAAAGTTAAAAGCTGTCCCTCCCTGAAAAGGCTCCCTAGTCTTTTCAAGTATATATTATATTGAAAGTATATTTGGAATATTCCATTTTCTTAAGAGTTCCAGCCAAGTTAACTGGTAGCAAAAGCTTACGAATTGCTAGCCACAGTCACAACGTTCAGTACTGCCTCAGAATGGGATGAATGACTCCTAAGAGAAAGGCAAGTAATCTTGGTCAACAGGTTGGTTTTAAACTTTCCCTCCCTCCCTGGTGACAAAATTATGAAGGAAGCATGCTAAAACCCCATGTCTATGATTTGATGGGTCAAATCCTTACAAAGGTTGTTGGACTCCAGGAAATATGCTTTAGAAATTCAGAACTGCAACCAAATACAGCAAGCTGAAAAGGTTAATCTTATATTTTCTACCCTAAAAGATGTCTTCCTATATTTTAAAAGATGCAGTCTGAACTCGGAAAAACACTTTGTCACATTGGGAATTTAAGATTCACTGGATGATGGATAGGGAAGAATCAGATTACTTCAATGAACTTTCAACATCATAATATGCTAACTCAACAATTAAATGATTAAAATAAACACGACAACATAGGTGGAGTAAATGGGCCATAATTCACTAGGATAAATACTTGACAATCTATACCACACAAAAATCCAGTTCTAGAGGGAATCTAGACCAGGATCCCATGGCAAGGAATTCTCCAAAACTGCTGAAGTTCAATTTCCATAATCTTTAAGGATTATGGGAGTTGAAATCCATCTCAAACGAAGGGCCCCAAAATGGGGGATGTCAGGCAAAAGGATTACAGAAATAAATGAAAAAGAACAGCCTAATTTTACAAATGCTCGAGAAAACCTTTGGGTCAGTTAGTTGCAACATTTCCCTAGAAATCAACCTCAATGAACTGGGCATTTGCAATTAATTGCAACCGTTTTGTTTCCAGTGATCCATACAGTTTTTTCACAGATATAAAAAAAATCTTCCTTTCTCTTTTTATAAAACTTCCACATTACCTATCATGACTATTTTAAAACTTCTAAGTTTCACAGGTTATCTTGCACTAAGTTTCCAGCTTTCTAGAAACGTAAGGGTAGGAAAAATAGATGCTTCTTTGTATATTTAGATTTTTACTCCCAACAGGATCACCAACAGGCTAAATTTGCAATACCTTTTTACCAAATGATCAGCAGTGGTAACCACTCACTTACAGTGACATATTTGAAATGAAACACTCTTCCAGATTTTTAAATTCAGATACAAGGGTTTGAAGGCTACATGTTTAGCATTTTTGAAATCTGAGCCCTCAGCTCCAAATCAATAACTTAGATTTCTGATTTCACAGGAGGATCTCAGTGTTAGAAACTGTTCTTTAAAAACACCAGTTTGAAAGTTTGTCATTTTGGGGTTTCAATTCAAATTAATATTAACATTACTACTTAAGGCACAGTGTAACCTGTACTATCATTTGATTTCTGGTCCCTCAAAAATTTTAGTAATTGTTGTAAATACATCTTACTAGTTAAGGGAAAGATAGGGAATTTGCATTCTTTTGCCCCCAAATAAAGATAAAAATAACAATATGAAAACCTTATGTGTTGTTTTTCAAAGCACAACCCAATCTAGCACAATGCTCCTGCTGTAATTCTAATCCAACCTTTCTCAATCTGGTTCCTTCCCCAGCCGTGTGTTGGACTTCAGATCCCCTAATCCCCTAGCCAATGGACTGGGACAGGCTATTCTGATCAAAAGAGAAGAGGGGTCCCTAGAAAAAACTCTCTCATTCTGCAAAAGTAGAACCCCAAATGATATTTATCAGCTCTATCCTAAACTTCTTTAATTCTCTCTCAAAAAACAGACTTTTATTACAAAACCTTTCTCCAGTTTGAATGACTTCATTGTAAAAGAATATTCCTATTTTAGGTCTGCAGACAGGAACCATATCAGACTGACCTGATTTGGGACACTGCAGTATGCAAGACAGTAAATGTTTGCAACAACATGTGCAAATCCACTGTTGCTTAGAAAAACATTCACCAAATTTTCACTGTGGACTTAACAAGTTCATGTCATCTGCCTCTGGTACCACGGAGCAATGTGCATCGCATCAGAGAAGGTTTTTAAGAAATGGTCATGTAGATGAAAGTATTAATTTATGCAAGTAAAAGACACCATGACCAAGTGAGGTGAAAAAATAGATTCAGAAATCTAAATATATCTATGGAGAAAGGGGTGATTCTTTGGATCTAGAAAGGAGAAACAAAATCAATAATTTTATCCGTCTCTTTGGCTCTGATACAACACTGGACTTTGAACTGCATGTTTTCATTATCCCTCTTACAGCCCCTAGGGAAGCACTTTGCATTTCTCTTAAGTATTTTAAAGCTGCATGATACCTTCTGTTGTTTTGGACCAGCATACAGTAAGCAACTCAAAACAAAATCATGCCTCAGTCATCTACACATTTAAAAAATTATCCAGGATGTTTGTCAAGGGAAATTGAGTAACATTATTTCAAACCTCATTTTTTACTAGCTTGGCTTAAGTCTGCATGCTCCAGACCAAAACCAAGTAAAATTTAATCTTCAAATACTGAATGTTGTCACTGGTATAAAATGGTCAAATGCATAGTTCCACACCTATTTTCTAAAATGTTAAAAAAATATCTATACCAAATTAAATGTAGGCATCATCTTCAAGATCTGAAATTTCACCCAGGCCCCTACATTTTTATAGAGTATCTTTGTTAACCTGAAGAATTAGGATTCTTTTTAAAAAAATAAAAATAAATCAAAATGACTTTTATATTCAGTCCCACATTCCACACTCCCATAGAAGCACAGTACAGAACTCTGTGATATTTTTATTATTATTTGCAAAATGAGCTAGTTTGCACCCAAGACTCATTAATTTTTACAACCCAAACAGACCATAAAACCACATGAATTCCTCTATAGGGCTTCGGAAATGGAGATTGGACCAGAATTTTTTTTCTTTTACCTTAGCAATATAATCAATCAAACTCTGATCCCATTCCCAAGAACTCCCTCTTCTGAAGCATTAGAAATAATAGAGGGTTAGAAAATGTAGATAACAGAAAACTGAGGCAACCTTATCTGCCCCTAAACCAGTGTTTCTCAACCTTGACAATTTTAAGGCATGTGGACTTCAACTCCCAGAATTCCACAGCCAGCAATGCTGGCTGTGGAATTCTGGGAGTTGAAGTCCACATGCCTTAAAATTGTCAAGGTTGAGAAACACTGCCCTAAACTGTGAGATACTCTAACAAATTATCTGCACGTTAACAAACCTGCATAATTGACTAATATAGGCAAGCAGCTTATAGCTCTGGGATTAGACCTCAGAACTCCATGAATACTGTCAAACTAAAATTGACATAAAGGAAGATATCACGCTATTCATCAAAGTTCACTTGGAAATCCCATTCCAAATCGAAGACTTAAACAACCTGCAGCAGGAAATATTGTGGTGGTTACATGAAAGCCATATTTTTCCCATCCCTGATCCTGGGAATAGAAGGGACACTTCCTTGTTAGGCCCAGATTAGAGCACATTTCATAATGGAGAGCCACCGTCTCTTCAAATCAGTTGTTTCAACTGAGACCGGGGTTAGGATATTAGCAGAAAAAGCAGATTCCCCCAATCTTCTTTGATGTGCTATTTAAAGTTCTGCCTCGTTCTGCTATCAGAACAAAGATACAAAAGCATGAACCTTAAGGCCACTGTAGAAAAACTCAGGACTGGATTCCACATTTAGCTAAAGGTAATAGCTGCAAATATCGTTATTAATTTATACTGGATCTTTCATGCAAGAAGTAGAGACATACATCTCCCCTCCAAATACCATCTAATGCCCGATACTGGAAATTCAAAAGCTTGGGATTAATATCTGCTATTATAACTCTAGATATAGGATGCTACCTAGATACCAAGACTAAAGGAACTGTATTCTAATTGGTACATTGGGATTTATTTATTTATTCATTTTGCTTACTGGAAACCTGGTTTTTATTTGGGGCTTTCTTGCAGAAGAAAGTTGAGCATTTAAGATATTATTTAGGGACTGCAACAAGATGTAATATGAAAAAACCAAGAGAAATGGAAAAGAGGGGACAATTGTGATTAAAAAAAAATAGATGCTCTAAGTATCAAAGATTTATCCAGGCAATCTAGATCACAGGTGTCAAACTTGCCGCGTCACGTGACGTGTCGCGACTTTTTGCATTTCCGGAGCTGGGGTGGGTGCGGCTTCTACATGATGCAATCGGCCCGTGGGCCAGCAGTTTGACACCCCTGATCTAGATGATCAGTACTCAGTGGAATCCACTGATAGAATGCAAGTCATTCTGAATAAAATTGGCTTGACTGTTCAAGACAATTTTTGCATTGGACAACTGGCTTTAAATGATCAGCAAAGACTAGAAACAAAACAATCAAGATTTTAAAAGACCTTCTTAATAGTTCCATTAATTCTGCAAATAAATAATATTGTTTTTTTTAAAAAAGGAAAAGATTTTATTTTTGTTTTTTGGGGGGAAAGCTTGTAAGATGCTCTCCAAATATATGATTCTTGGTAGTACTGCTATCTTTAAATATGATGATTCTCTTTGTCAACTCTCCAGTAAGCTCTTCAGAACACAAAAGACTGCCAATTTGCCACTTTTTTCACAGTTTATCCAGCAAAAGTTTTTTTTCTTTTCAACATGTTTAGAATGTCAAGCCAATCAGAATTACTAGTTGTTGCAACTGAAAAGTGTACTGCCTTGATTATTAAAACACATCTGATTTTCCAAAATTCACCTACCGGAAATACTTTTTAAAAATCAAGTAATTCTTAATATTCAAACTCTGTATCACAAACTACTTTAAATAGCTGCTCTTTGTTTTCTAAAATAGAGTCTACTTTCCATATTCCACAGCTACAACTGTGATAGTTTTCAAACAAAAATGCTCTCCACCCGTTTTTGACTGCTCTAGCTATTTTCCCAAAGGGGAAAGCAACTTTTTCTTTTGGCTGCTGTCAAGTTCTCCCCTAAAGGGGATAATCTTTTTCAGGTGTTACCGCTCTTCTGACAACCATGGATCATTTCCAAAGGTTCTATTGCTCTTAGAGCAATATAAGAAATTTCCCATCTCAATGAGTTTGAGCCAACAGCTGTAGAGCAAAAATAGTCAACTGGTTAACAGATAGATTCCAAAAATGGTCTGAAGCAAACAGTTCAAATCTTTTGATGAGAGTGATCTGGCAGCTAAACTGGGAGAAGATCAGGGCTTCCTACTTTGGCTTCTGATAGGTGAATAACTCACTCAAGGGAATGGAGGCAGCAGTAGAACTAAGATACCCTGCCCCGTTTTAGATTTTAAACCCATTAATCTATCCTTTTATACATTTGTAGAAAGTAAGGCAAATAAATCTGTTAAACCTCTGGATAATACCCTCCCTCACTTTTTAACACAATCTTATTTTTTTTCTGCAGTAACTGAAATTTAAGAAAATATTTCTTATTAACGTGTAAATTCCATTTAGTTATCATGACTTGTTACCCAATAATATATTGAATCATTCACTAAAGGATCTATGGCTGTAGCTACCAACATTTATCTTGTTGTCAATTAATTTCATACTATTACTCTGCACCATTAAGAATACTTTCCTGATTTTGGTTTGAGATGGAACCAAACATTGTTCCAAGCAGTGGTTTAATGTGCCCCTCTGCTGGAAGAAGCAGAAAGGGGAACATTCAGCCTACTGGATACTGATCGCAGATGACAAATTAAAAATCAAAACACATTTTAGGTTATTCAAGTCATCTGACGTATGTGCCATAGAAGTTGTAAGAAACTAAACAGAAACATGCACTGCAGAAGTGCATATATGTCTGCAGCTGGGAAACTGGTTTAAAAATTCTTTCCAACAGAATATTCAGCCTGTTTTATTTCTTCCCCCAAATTATGTGATTCCCCCCCTTGACTACCTGCTCTATATAAACATTCTGCATTTGAAATCTGTTTCAGTACACAACATTTCTAATGAATTTACCAGGTTTCCAAAATTCAAGGCTTTCAGATTGTACAAGATCATCTGCAAGGATAGGTGCAATTCAAATTAGACAACCCAAAAGGACAGGGAGATGGAGAGAAACTTGTGTATACAATGGAGATTAGCTCCACTACTGAAAACCTCAACCAACTGTTTCCAGAAAGTCTTTGAAAATTTTCCCCATTATCATCAGCATAAGAATTGGTAGCAGATTGTGCAAAGCCTGGGGGTGGGCGTGGTGATTTCCAAAAGGCCCGATTCATCCTAGATTTCAGATTGTGTACTGAACTTGCAGGATTCCCATGGAAGAGAACAAAGAATCACCAGCTGAGCAACTGCAACCAACCTCCTCCCTCCCATGTCACCCTTTTAATGACAACAAGAGTTGGAATCCCACCCCCCACTTCACTTTCTGGGTAGCCTCGCCCCATGACTTTCCCATTTGGATGGCTATCCACCCACACATCTTTACAGCCCCAGCTATCTCCAGCCATTTTGCTCACAGTCCTGGAATTGTAACAGTAAGTGCTTGTCTGTTTAAGGATAAGAAGTGTTCTATCTGGTATCAGGAGGCCTGCCTCATCTACTGCCGCAGCCTTAGGATACAGCCCAATTGCTGGCAACTGGCAAAGCAGACCTTTAATTCATTAAACATGTAGCGCTTTGGAACGCAAGTTGTCTCCCGGGAACATTTTTACCCCTTCCGGGTTTGTAGCATTCATATTTATATATAGCTCTATTCATGTTATATATAAATATAATCTCTCTCTCTCTCTTTCTCTCTCTTTCATATATAATAAAAAGCACACACCAACTGCTATATGCATCTTGTGTATAATTTGCAGTGGTGGTACTACTCTTTCTCTCTTAAAAATCATTGCCGCTCATACACACCCCTTAATTCATACCAACATCACCATCCCTCAAAGCAATACTGCTATTTGGCCTGATGGTGGGGGAGTTGGCAAGAAATTAAACAAGGCAGGCAGGAAAAATCTGCCCCATTTTAAAGTAAAACCTTCCTGGCTTTTTCTTCCTTTAAAAATATCCCCCTTCCCAAAATCCAATATTCATAATTCTTGCCCCCTAAAAAGTCTTCCCCCTATAAAATTAAAAAACAAAAATAAATTCAAATAAACTTAAAAAAATGCCGCCTTTATGGATCCGATTGGCACAGTGGCAAATTTGAGGGGGCGGAATGCAAAAAAGCTGATGTTATCCTCCAAAGCAGGGACAAGAGTCCTAGCAGGCTGCTTGACCTCACAATATTATAATAGCTGCTGTAGAGGAGCAATCAGATTAATTAGCCCAGTGTTGCAATGTGAGCTATCAAGACAGCAATCTTCCTGTCCCTGCCCTGCCTAGCTAATAATTCCATTCCAGCACTTGATTGCATTTACATTCTACTAATGGGTTGAAGGGCTGAATTTCCCCATCCCATCCTTGGCAGGTCAAAATCTTTTCCCTTGTCACCCCACTTCACCCCACCCCCATTTGCCAGCCAATTGGACCCACAGCGGCATTTATTCACTCCTCTTTCTGCAGAACTGGGAAGGGAAGCTTGTTCTCCGGGCACCGTTCAGAGTCCCCACCCAGCGTCCCGAAAAAGGGGCTTTTGTTATTGCATGAGTCAGTGTCTCTTGCTAAGGCACAAGGTGATGTGGCTGAAGGGCATGCTCCAACAGTGGGATCTTCGTTGGCTCTGGAGGGGGGGCCTCCATCCCCATTCAACTGGGACTGGGGTCGGGTGCAGCTACCGCTGCCATTGCTGCCGAATTCGGACGTTTTTGCAGTTCCATCGGTCAAGCTCTGTCAAACACAAGGGACAGCTTTAGAAAAAGAATCAGGAAGCAGAAGACTCAAACAAAAGATTAAAAACACAGCTGGAAGAGCTGAAATCTCCAAATGTCGTACCATTTTGTTTTTTTTACATTGCAAATCTGTATGCCATCCATTTCTGAATAATTTCAGGCAGCTTACAAAATATATACTGTATCTATTTCAAAGGATTTGACAATCTTGCATTGTTTTGGCTGATTATATTTGTTATGCATTAACATCAGATTTCTGAAGAGACTCTCTTACGGAATCCTGATTACCCTGGTGCCAGGAATCGCTGTGTAGCTGACTTTTGTTGTATGAAGTTGTACATTTTCAAAGGTCATTCCTTCTTTAAGGAAATGTTGCATAGTGGATGAGATGGACAGAACTCAGCAAAAGAGGAAAACTCTTCACTTAGAACTACAATAAAATGAACTTCCACAATACGTAGGGAGACATACTTGCTTATTTACTTTCTTGTTTCCTTTGGGGATTTTTCCAGGGCAATCACGGCCACGGCTGCAGAACAGGAAAAGAAAAAAAGCTGAAAGTTCAAGTTCACTGATTGAAGAGAGCACCTATTTATTTATTTATTGAGTGTACACTGCTTTATCACTTATGGACTTTTAGCATTTTACGAACAAGATCAAAATAATTAAAACATCCAACATTAATTAATTAGAATAATTTAATCTCTTCACAATAAATAAATACATTTCCTGTGCTGAGAAACATAGCAACTGAAACTTCTAATGAGCCTTTCACTCAGGATATATATGAATCCTGGACAGATAAAGTTGCTTTTCACATTAAGCAATTTTTCAGGAAGCAACTGAAACATGGATAAAAGTTAAAGACCATGGTCGTCCTTTATGCGCATGGATGTATTTGTCAGAGTCTCAGAAGATTGGCATTACATACAAATATTAAACACATTTATTTCATTTGGTGTTTTCCTTTCCATTAGTTATCATCCATCGGATGGGAAACAGAGTCAGCTGAAAGTTGAAACTGCCATTTAGCCTACCTTGACCGTTTCCATCAAATCTGGTCACTATAAGAAAAATGTATCTTTAAGAAATAATGCTTTTTCCTTTCCCATCTTCATTCTTTCTCCTTTTAGCTCTGTTGAAGTAATAATAACCCCAGAGCAAAATATCCACTTGTAGTCAAGACGCCCTAGCATTTCTACAGGTTATAAGGAACAGAGAGAGAATCCAGCAGCAACTAATCAGGAGTCCTTGGTGCTCTCTGAGCTTGCTTATTTTCTTGCAGACGTTTCATTACCCTAACTAGGTAACGCCATCGGTGCTAGTCAAAGCCATTCTACAAGTGCTACTTACCCTTTCCCTGGGCCTCCAACTGACACCACCTGCATGCCAAAGGAGCCCTGTCCCCGAGAAGGTTTGCTCCCAGCCCACTGCCCCACCACCATCCCAGCAATTTCCAATTTGCCTCCTTGTGGTGGGATTGGATGGAGTCCTGGAGAGGAAAGGCACAGTCAGTCAGAGGAAAGGTACGGAAGGACAGGGGGACAGGTGATTAGCTTATCCCCAGACCTAGGGTCCATAAATCAAATTTATTGTTGGAAGAGACAGGGGAGGAGGAAAACATGTGCATGCAAGTTTTTGTTGGTGAACTGTACATTAGGCTCCATCCTTTCAACATTAAAAATACAACCATGAGCTGGAAGTCCTAAGAGAATTAGCATTTAACATTCCCAAGAATTCCATGCCAGGATGGCACTGTATTAATAAAGACTCTCATATTGGTACTATTAAGCTCGTTGTTTAAAACTTTGACTTTACATTTTAAAAAAATAGGAATCACATAAATATGAATTACGTGTCCAGTAGAGGCATCTGAACCTCAACCACTCACCTGTGAAGCCTCTAGTCCTCCCAGGGGCTGAAGGTTGCATTGATCCAATTGTGCGAGGGTAAAGAGGCACTGGATAAAAAGGTGCTGCCATAGAAGGCACAAAGGGTGGAGGTGGAAGAAGAGGTGGAGGAGCCTGGCGATTGAAGTTGATGCCTTCCAGAATACTCTGCCTCATCTTCTCTACTTTAGATACCTGCTCGGTCTGATCAAGACCAAAGAGAAGCGGAACACACAGAATAGGTATCTGGTAGAATTCTGGGAAGATCTCCATATTCTTACAGTCTATCTAATATCCTCCAAGATCAAGGAAGTGCAGCTGGTGAGAAATCTAGGGCATGTTCCTGTGGCACAACTCGGGCAAAGCGCCCACAGCAAAAATCATACCACAGATTGACAGGGATGGGGATCAGGAGGATACATCCAGATAATATCCTACCCCGCAACTCTCTCACTGAAATCAACAGGATTCGAGCATTGATTCACTTTATTTATTTATTAAATTTATCTGCCGCCCATCTTTCTCCGCGGGGCTGCTCTGGGCAGCGTACAACCATAAAAGAGAAAGTAAAGGAATGAAACAATAAAAAACAAACAAACAGTAGAGAAGTAGAGAATATGAAATTAAAAAGAGGAGTGGAGGGAGAGCAGGAAGCACAGGGGGGGAGGTGGGGTCAGCAAGTTAGTCTAGTAACCACCTCCATTGGGACACCCCCCCCCAGGCCAACCAGCAGAGCCAGGACTTCAGGCTCTTACGTCCCAGGGGGTAGGGAGCTCCAGAGGGCTGGGGCTACAGTAGAGTAGGCTCTTCTTCTTGATCTCATCAGTCAGAGTTCCTTGACTGACAGGATCCTCAGCAAGCCTCCTCTGCTGGCCACAAGTACTTTAGTTAGATCATCCTATACAAGCTAAGGAAGGTAGCTGGGCTATCAATTTGCTCCAAGGCTTATTTAGGGCAGTAAGCAGTAGAAGAATGATAGCGCTGCACTTTTTCTGCTGTCTTTGTGTACAGTCTAATAAACACAAAGCGCACATTCAGCTAATGATGAAGGAGACAAAACTGAAAGACAAAGTTATCTGGAATATCAGCAAGTTATAAAGTTAGTTTTTTTAAAATTCATTTTATAAGGCAATTTGAGAGCAACCTCTGTATCTTTGCTCAAATGGCTGTTGTTTCTAAGAGAGAATAATATATATGCAGCATTGGGACCCTCTCTTGTGCATCACAACACCTACAAATGAAAACCATAAACAATTGCTGCCACAACTTCGTAAGTCAGGAGCAGAAACAACTGCTTGCTACAGAAAGCCTCTCTGCTTACCTGGCCATCGCAGAGGTCTATCAGAGGTGCCTTCTCTCGGATAGCTTTAATCAGTTTGCTTTGAAAGAGTTTCCCATCAAAGTAGATCCACGGGCAGCAATGCTCCCAGGGCACAGGCTGCCCACAAGCATCATTGGCAAAGAGGGCTGTGTCCACTCCACTCATAAACAGAGCAGCCAACTGAACTCCTCGGGGATCCAGTTTCTCAATCTGCAAGGAAAGCAGCAACATCCCTTAACCTTTAGCATTCCTTCTCCTCTGTCTTCTGGCCTTCGTGACCACGATCCAACTTAAGTGTCTTTATAAGGCAGGATACAGTAATACTACTATTTCAGTATCAAAGACAGCAGTATTAGAAGCAGCACAACCCAGGCCTCTGTTCCAATTCAAAGTCAAAGATGGCCCTATAATCATATTGTTACAACAGAAAAGTATAAACTTCCAACTGAGCATCTATTCCACATAAGCAGGTTTGTCTATAATGGCGGCATCCGTCCCAGACACATTAAGCGTTTATGTCATACAGAAGACAAACTACAATGCACCACAGTGGCTATAGGTTACACTGCTCACTTGCTCAAGTCATAAGGCCTACTGGTGTGAAGCATATTTTACCAGAGGTCACCTCCATTCAATATTCCCATCTTTTCATCATCTCTCAGACAACATTCAGGGCCATTTAGTTCCTCTGCACTGAACATGTACTTTGGAAGCGCTAACTCCTCTTTCTACCGATCTCTAATGAAGCCACGCTCCAGAGAGAGAGCGAGAGAGAGCGAGAGAGAGCGAGAGAGAGCGAGAGAGAGAGAGAGAGAGAGAGAGAGAGAGAGAGAGAGAGAGAGAGAGAGAGAGAGAGAGAGAGAGAGAGAGGGAGGGAGGGAGGGAGGGAGGGAGGGGGAGATCTAAGACACCAATTTAGAATATGTATTCCAGCTTCAAGGAGTCCCCTGTAATCTTTATTTTAGAATTAAGGAGTAGGCTTTATTCCATGACCAATGGCACAGTATTGACCTTCAAACAGAACTTTTAAGGAAAGCAGGACTGGTGACAGTCAAAGAAAGAAAGGGCTGAGGAACATTTTTACTTCTACTTAAAATGTTACACCATTTGTTCTGTAACATCTTAAAATACTGTCCTTTCTACAGCACTCTAGGTGTCCTTTAAGCAACCAGGCATCAAACGTAAGCATTCCAATATCATTTATGCAGACTGACAAAAAGAAATGTACCCTGCCGTATAGGAGATCTAGTGCATCCTAATACAGCCTCTCCCTTGTCCCCCACACTTTGGTACTCTTATGTGTGAGGAATTGTTCTTTATAGACAAGTATTTCATCGTATGAGCACCCATTTGTGCAAATTCAGCTGCTCTTTATCAGAACAACTGGATTAGCAAGATGAAGTCTGTACAGGGTAGAACCTGGAAGGGTTGAGATACCAAAGCAGTACGGTAGTCAAAAGAAATGGAAGAAATGAGCAAGGGGCAGCAGGGATGCATGAACAAACAGCTAATTCTATGCCTGTGAAAATGTAAGAGGAATTTACCTTTCATCAGCAAGAATAAAACTTGGGCACTCTCTATTCTCGGCCCCCATAGCTCTAACCTCATCTTCTCTCTTCTTTCCTATTCCCCCTACAAGGACTAATAAAGGAGGGATAAACAACCCCAACCTTCAATTCTTGAAGTTGATCTGGTTCATATAGCTGAGCAGACACAGCCTGGGCCAAGAAAGCATCCAATTCATGTCTGTGGAGGATCCGGCCTCCAGGCCACTGTATCATGTATCTTGAAAAAAGAATAATTCAAATAAAAGTACGAAATACATTATGGAATAAGAATCAAAATTTACAATACTTTTTACCTTTGGATACTGCTGGGCCTTGGAGAAAAATTATAATTGGTTTTTTTTAAATGTTGAAATCTAGAATTTGTAGTTTGACAAAAAAAGCACGGGTAGACAGGTTCAGTTAGCAAAAGTTATGAGCCATAAAGCTAAAGAACTAAATGAAGTTTCATGCTTCAAATAGTCCCCATTTGCAGAACAAATATCCTGAATGTGTGCCTCAGTAAATGGTCCAGATATTGTTTGTCACTATGTTTAAAATCAGGAAATGATTCTAGATTGACTTGTAAGCTGGTAGTTTTATCTTCAAGTAACATATAGCAGGAAATCACTAAGCTAACATAAATATAACAATAAGCCTTCATTTGCCCAAATAAATTTATATGATAGATTTATATCCTAATATTTGCTCAGGATGGTATACATAGCAATTCCTCCTTCCATTTTTTCCCCACAACAAGACTGATGAGGTGAGTTGGGCTGAGACACTGTGATTCATCTAAAGTCACCTATTAAGTTTCTGTGGCTCAGGATGGACTAGAACATGGGCCCTTCCACTGCCAGTTCAACATCTGAACTCCTGCATAATGCTTACTCCTTTATATTTTCAGATATTGTCATCTCATTCTTACCTACTACCTCCAATCCACAACCAATTCCTGGATTTTTCAATAGTACAGATCTCTCACAGCTCTTCTTAGCCATATCCCAGCACACAATGTTACTTGCCACTCTTTTTTGACTTTTCTCTTCAGATGTGCTCCACTCACCGTAATACACAACACATGAGCAGTAGATGTGTCGGTACATTAGCAGGGTTGAGCATGCCAGGGGTGTCTGATTTCATACAAGCCAGAAATGCTCTCATACGCCGATTCTTGTCTTCCACTGCTTTGCCCAACCAGAGCTTCTTGAGGTTGGGACAGGTCCACTCCCGAAAAGCAAGAGCTGAGACTAACTCCGGAGTCTGGGGTGATTTCCCTTTGTACGCCGACCATTCCTTGACAATAACAGGATGAGCTAGGTAGGAATGAATATCTGATTAAAATACATTATTTCCCCAGTTCGTATAATGAAAAACAAAACTTAAGATATTTTAGGCCAAATGTATTTCAATGAATGTACACTTACAGCAAAAATATATTAAAAGCTCAAAATGTGAAACAGTGCTATGATTCTATTGTACAGTTCAATGCAGTAGAGCAGGGGTCTTCAAACTTGGCCCTTTTATGACTTGTGGACTTCAACTCCCAGAATTCCTCAGTCAGGCACACTAGTTGAGGAATTCTGGGAGTTGAAGTCCACAAGTCATAAAAGGGCCAAGTTTGAAGACCCCTGCAGTAGAGCATACAGCTTTTCTTTGCATTATATCAATTCTGATCCAGTATGCCAAGGAGTAGGTTGCTGAAATGTATGTAGGCTTCTAGGGACAGAACACTATGGGGAATACTGGAACATTTTATTTTTCTCACAGACCAAGTTGATCTGGTAATTCCAGGCCAATCTGATGCTTTACCTGAGGTAAAATAACCATAACACCATGATTTACACACTGCTCTTATTTTAAATTTAATTCTGCTTATAATTTATTCAAAATTGTTATAGCCTCCCAAACCCAATGGACTTTGGGCAGCATATAGAACCAAAAACCATAAAAACAGTTAAAACATAGAACCACATAGCCTGGACTAAAATTATCTTAAAAGCAACACATATCACAACAGATGCTCAAAATATATATTAATACACTAACCCCTTTAGATTTCTTCTACCCCCGCGGACCGGATGCATCATAGCGAAACCGCACCCACCCCATTGCCGGCAATGGCAAAAAAGTTGTGATATGTCGCGACACATGACATTGCGAGTTTGACACCCCTGATCTAGAGGAAAAATGTAAAGTTCTGGCATTTCTTGAAATGAAATGTTTTACAAATTCCCATTTGTGAGCCATTTTAGACATCAACATTATCATTACTGCTGACCTTGCCACTTGTAGATTTACACGTGTGACAATATTAGCCTCTGCTGTGCAAAAATGTTTTTGGCTGCCAAAAAAAGCTAGACATCCATTTCATGGCTGAATACAGGGGTATCGTTCAAGCTGAACATCTGAAGCAAGGGGAAATCCCTATTTCTTCATCTTTTTTAACTGACTTGAAATAACATCAGCTACTAAATTAGAATGTGTACAACTTTCTTAGGTTTCAATGGAAATAAGAGGCCAAAATTGTTGCATTCCCCAGACATAAGATCACCTCATCCAATGTCTTATGTTTGAATAACAGAATAACAGAGTTGAAAGGGACCTTGGAGGTCTACTAGTCCAACCCCCTGCTCAAGCAGGAAACCTATAAAACACACAATGTAATAGCCATAGCATCAAACAGTAATCCTAGCACCAGTCTTTCAAGTTGCACCAAAGGTGTCACCATGAAACAATGCATTCAATTCCATTATTACAAGTCAAGAAAGATACCATAATTAGACTGAAAGCAAAACAGATATCCACCAGAAACTACAAGGACACAATTTCTTTATGCAGCATCAAACACAGAAAACAAAGTATCAGGGACTCCTGAATGGTGTGTTCAACTTATGTCACTTAGCTGCAAAAGGTACTAAGCGATTGGAAGCCATTTACAGGTAACACTAAAATATGGGAGGCTAATTAAAACACACCTTTTGGAGTTGAACAAGGTAATTATAAAATGCTATATGGTGAGGAAGAGAGAGGGAAAAACATTTTCCTCACTGTATAAATATTATGAAGTATTCCTTTATATAAGGATGTACAACTGACTTATGGGATTTATGCCATATAACAAACTAATCACAATTGGAGTAAATGGCTCCATAAAGGGGAGAGACATTATGAAACATAAGATTCCCAGGACATGAATTCCAAAGCTATGTGGTATGATTACAGACCATCACAAAAGTGCTGCCCACCCAATTATGAACAAGTTGCAGAAAAAAGCTGGTTTGGCACTAGTCCTTACCTGGGGGATGCAAATCAAAAGAAAGTAGATAGAAGCAGACAAAATAAGATGAGATTCATTTTCAGGATTAAATAAATCAGCTAGGAAAGCAAAACATGTACAATAAATGTGAAGATCAACCATGGTACTACCAAAATATACAGCAGGAGGCAGAACCTAGTCCCTGAGCCATTTATGATGAAATAATTGAAGAGAAAGAAGGCAGGTTAATATCTGGCCCAGAATATATTGATGTGCACAAAACAAAGAAAAGCTCTTTCTGTTGTGAACTTAAAACAAAGCCCACTTAAGAAGTTTTGTTAACATGTTTCAAGTAGTCTGTGTTCTGGCAAAAAATCCCTCAAAAGGTTTGACCCTAAAATACAATGGGAATTCAAAAAAAGTCACCAATAGCATTTCCATTTGGTAATTGGAAAGCCCAACAACATAACAACACTATCTGAAAGACAGAAACTCAGTTTACACATATGCATATATGGCAATCTATCTGAAAAAAAGGATGACACATAGGGACGAGGCTACATTACATCCCACGGACTCTATCTTCCCATTTAAAAACAGAGGAAACTTAGCCCACCCCCAGCCAGGCAGCACTAGGCTTTCAAATGACTCCCAGTTCTCATTTTCTCAGCTGCCTTGAGAAAAGGGGAGCAGGAATAGGATCTGTACCTGGAGTCTTATTAACCAAGCAAATCCCACCAGGACAGGGTACATCCTTCTGAGCTACCTAACATAGGTTCTGGGAATCTTGTCTCCCATATTTTTAACACCAAGCTCTAGAAACAGTGATCAGCATGCGCAGCTTACTGCATTTGGCTTCATATGTGGTAAACAAGAATGCAGCCCCTTTGTCTTACTTCATAAACTGTGGCTGAGTGACATTACTACGATTTAGCACTAAATGAGAAACTTGGAAAGTACACACATGTACAAAAGTCTGGAGAAGTTACCTACTTTCCACGGGAATGCGCTTGCGCACAGCCAGGCGTTCCATTCGCCGTTGTGTCTCAGCCACACTGAAGAGGACACCGTATACATACTGCCGTGAGGCCCGAAAAAGAACAACTGCTGGTGGCAGTTCAGTGTTACATTCGTCTTCAATGCAGACAGGGATTTTGATCTCCCCCTGGAATGAAATGAGAATCCTGGATCACTGATTCTCAACCACCTGACTGTTCTCAAAACCACCTAAGTCTCCTGCGAGAAACCCAATTAATAGAACTGCAAAGGCTCACTGCCCACCTCACCTTGGTAAGGACGTGGTAGATGAAAGGGTACATAAGCCCCCGTCGATGCCTATGTTCAGCCACTCGAAGTACTTCTGGAGCAACAGGAGGCAAAGGTGGGGTGGTTATGTCCATGTGGTTGCGGGTTGCCATAGAGAGCAATGAAGGGATGTGGGCTTCAGGTCCACTCAAGGTCCTTTCTGAGTTGCCAGTGTTCCCAGGTGATTGTCCCCAGCCTTGATTCATTATCTTTTCACCCGCAGGATCCTCCCAGCCAGACTTGCGAGACACAGTTTCAGAAACGTGGCTGGAGGAAGAAAAGGATATACTGTCATCCTAGAATGGGATTAAAATCCAGGAATCTTGTTTCTTTTTTTTTTTTTTTGTAAAAATTTTATTAATTTTTTCCATATAATTCAATAGTGCTTAATCAACAACATGTTGTCTGAGTTTATCATTCACTAATACAAATTTAATTCCTAATTCTTTATTCTTTTCTCCAGCCATTGATAAAACAAGTCCCAAGTCTGATAGTATTGTTTCTTTTTCTTTCAACCTCATAGTAAGTCTTTCCATTTCTGCACATTCTAATATTTTTTTAATTATTTCTTCTGATGGTAATTCTTCCTTTTTCCAATATTGTGCAAATATGATTCTTGCTGCTGTTATCACATGTAAAGTCAAATATATACTTTGTTTATCAATCTTTTCTGGCATAATATCTAATAAAAAAAGTTCAGGTTTAAAATCTACATGTTTTCCCACCATCTTTTCTAGCCAAATATGTCTTTTTTCCAGTACCTCTTTGCTTCAACACATGTCCACCATACATGATAATAAGTACCTGCCTTATGTTTACATTTCCAACATCTATCTGACATATTTTTAAACATTTTTGCCAATCTTGCTGGTGGCAAGTGCCATCTATAAAACATTTTATATAAATTTTCTTTATAAGAAGCTGCCATTGTCAGTATATAATTTCTTTCCCACAAGTTTTGCCACTTTTCTAATTCTACATTATATCCAAAGTTCTTTGCCCATGTTATCATTGTTTCTTTAACTTGTTCATTTTCCATTTTCAAATTCAATAAAGATTTATAAATTTTCTTAATTAGTTTTTCATCAGAGGTTAATAATGTCTGATCAAACAAGGTTTGCTCTTTATAAAATCCATACAGTTTGACATCTTTATCGTATCTAACTTGCATTAATAAGTATGTCCACCATGATAGATCTACATCCTGATTTTCCATCTCTTGCTTAGATTTTAAATCTAGGGAATCTTGTTTCTTCCAACTGCATGACAGTACAACTCTTCAGAATCCTCTCCTTTCCCAGGACAAGGATATAGCATGTCTGAGACCTGCTATAGTTCTTGATGGGGGAAAGTTCTCCCCACTTTCCCCCATCAAACTATCACAGTCACCCCAAGGTTCGCTAAGAAGCTCACAAGACTCCAATAAGTTACACTCACTTGGAATTGGCTCCATTGTGCTCTTCCCCATCAGAAGAAGAAGAGGGTGAAGATCCAGGCCCAGATGATGGGGAAGGTTTGGAACCCAGGTGATGGTTAGGAAACTTGGTGGGACAGTTATCATAGGATACAGGCCAGTTGTTGAAGTGACCACCCTTCAAGGCAGGATCTTCATGGAAGGGCATTGCGTCCGCCAAGCCATGAGGCGAGAAGAGAAAACTGGAACCAGGACCCGGAAGAAAAGATGAGGAAGCAGCAATGCCACCGTGTGGAACAGGTGGCTGGTACTGCATCTTTGGCCCCATTTGGGGTGCAAACTGGAGATGGAAGCAAAGAGAAGGGGGGGGGAGGACCAACTGCAATCAAAACTGCTTATTCAAACTTAGGGTGGAGTCATAGCCCAGTAGCACAGAAACTAGCAAAGACCCTCAGCACTCAGAAGGTTTTAGATTAATTCTCTGGCATTTGTAATTAAAACAGGAACAGAGAGCAGACAAGAGAAAAGACCTGTCTGAAGTCTTGGAGAACTGCTGTGAACCATAATAGTTAAAGTACTGACCAAGTGGGATCAATGTTCTAACTCAGGGATGGCAAACCTTTTAGAGACCGAGTGCCCAAACTGCAACCCAAAACCCACTTACGTATCGCCGGGTGCCGGGTGGGTGTGGCCCACTCAGCGGGCATAGCTACAGTGGGCTTGGCAGACTGGGTGGGCGTGACCACTGGATGGGTGTGGCTGCAGTAGTCATGGCAGATTGGGTGGGCATGGCCGGGGTGGGCGTGGCCACCTTGATGTTGCTTATGGGGAGGGACACCTGTGGCAGCCGGGCAGGATTGGGGGAGATCCAGGGGATCTCTGGCGGGTGGGATGGTGGGCTCCCCAATGGTGGCTCGAGGCTGGCTGGCCTTAGGCCAGTGATGGCAAACTTTTAGAGACCACGTGTGCTGGGGCGATGGCGCATGTCCAGAGAGGGCTCCGCGTGCCGCCTCTGGCACGCGTGCCATAGGTTCGCCACCACTGATCTAACTCAATACAAAAAAGCCTCCGATATACAGATAGTCCTTGAGTTACAACGGCAGTTGGGACCAGAATTTCCATTGCTAAGTGATGTGATTGTAAAGTGTGAACTCATGTGACTGCATCATTTATCAACAACAATCCCAAACCACTAGAGTATGCAGGCGGGGGAGGAGGGCGGACTTATTAGAGCATCATGCAAATCTCCCTTCCAGCTTTTCCATTTGCTTGTAGGAAGTTGGCAGGGAAAATCATTAACTGCAATCACATGACCTCATGACACTGCCATCATCATAAGTGCAAGCTGGTTGCCACATACCCAGATCACGGTCACATGACGATTGGGGGGGGGCAGCTGGGAAGACCAGCAGTTCAAAGACTGGCTGTAACCACCACTCAGCGCCATCGTAATTTTGAACGGTCAATGAATGAGTGGTCATTAACTGAGAACTACCTGTGGTTCTGAAATCATTCTGCTCTAGAGATCCTCTTGCATATTTTTTTTTACTCCTGAAAACATTTACAAATATGTAAATGTTTAGCTCGTACCACAGACAGAAAAAGTACCCTCTCCGCCCGCAAGGAAAGGCCTGAGATTCCACAGTCATATATTTCAAATATCATCTTCCATGTGCTTATTATACACCAATGCAACATGCACAGCCATGGTATGGTTGGACTGGCACAGGGGACTCTTTGGAAAATGGTAGCAAAAAAAGGTTACCTACAGATGCACAATAATTCACTAATTTGCTCACTACATTCAGATAATTCAGTTCTCTTTAGTGGAGTTATATGCTTGTGTCCCATGAGTGAGGCAAATTGATATAGTAGCATTTTAAATATCTCTTCAGACCCAACTGCAAGGGGGATGCAATTTTCTGATTGATTCTTCATATTTGTAGCTTATATCAGGGCTTTTCAACCTGGCAACATCCAAGTACCATCAGTCGCCTAGCAAGGTGTCAAAAACTTGATGACCCCCCCCAAAAAGGAAAAAGTGTACAGGTAGTCCTTGACTTACAACAGTTCACTTAGTGACTGTTCGAAGTTACAATGGCACTGAAAAAAGTGCCCCCCAAGCCACAGCCGAGCAAGAGATCTGCCTGCCCGCCCAGCGGCGCTCTTCCTCCTGTCAGAGGTTTTCATTGTTGTGAGCATTTCTGTTGAGGATTGGCAGTGGGGGTGGGGTGGGGTGGTGTTTGGTTTTTATTCCCCCCGTCTGCTGGGTGGTTGCAGCAGGTTTTGGTCACTTCATATGACCCTGGGACACTGTGACCGTCATAAATATGAATCAGTTGCCAAGCATCTGAATGTAAATCACAAGACTCTGGAGATGCTGCAACATTCCAGCTGATCGACGCTTCTTCTGGGCTCAGCAGAAGCGCCAGGATCAGTGCCGAGCTCCAGCTGGAGCCTGGTGCTGATCCTGGCGCTTCCGCTGAGCCCTGACAGCCCTGCAGCTCCAGCCGTCTCTCACTCAGGCTTGTGAGGTGCTGCCACCGGTTCAGCTCATTTCCCCTCCCCCACTACCACTTTTCTAGCATAGTCGCGTACCACCTGCCAGTTCCAATGTCCCACAGGTGGTACCCTTACCACTGGTTGAAAAGCCCTGGCTTATATAACATAAGCTAGAGGGAACAGTTCAACTTAAGATACTTCCCAATGCATTAATGTCTTCTATGCAGTGGGGCATATAAACAAAAAGAACATTCAGAAATATGATTTTCCCACATACCTGCTGTCTGAAGAACGCAGGCCAAGCTCCAGTATCTCAATTGGTGTAGCATACATTACATCTCCCTGTTGTAGCTTGAGCCTGCAAGGACCAACAGGGCTTTCTCTAACCCAATGAACATTAACATTCTAGATGGATGCAGTAATGGGAATCTCACAGTAAATTTAACATCTGCCTAAAGCAATTCTGAGCACTTACCATAGCCTTCCCAGAAGGAAGTGATACCATTGGATTGCGGTTCAGAGGTGCTGGCCCTCCAAAGTGGTTAGGCCCAAATGCTGGGACTGAAACAAAGAATGGGATCCTTGTTATATTAAAAAAAACAGTAGCCCAATATTACTATCAGGATACCCTGAGTGGAGACTTCTGCCAGTACAGAAGTCAATTAAATTGGGGCGTAGATAAAAAACCACTTCAGACAGAAGTTATGCATGGGAATCATATCTTCATTGTCTGAAGCATAATCAGTCTTGTATTTTCTGTTTTTTAGCGATGGTACCCATGGACAACTATTTACACGTAGGCAACTCTATCCCCAAAAGCCTGAGCAGTGCATCAGATTCTTGGTATAGATTAGAGGATATCCTGAAGTCATAGAGAATAACAGCGGGACACAGCAAGTCTACTGGTTGTCCCACATGAAACTGAAATTAGAGTGAAGGGTGCTTTGTCCCCCATTACCATTTATCTCTGAAAAAAAATCCTTGAGGAGCTTGGAAGTGCAGGATCCCGTAGAACATTATTTGGGAACTGTTTTAGGAGAGTGGTTCTCACACACTTGACCAAGTTTCCTAGTAAAGGATGGTGACAGAAACAGGACAGAAAGAAGCCAGATACAATGGCAACAATATGGACTAAAAAGGCAACTCCCAGCCATTGAATCCAACAATAGATATCTAAGGGAGCATAAACTAGTGGCTAATCAACAAACCCCTTGTTGATTTTTAATAGATGACCGAATTCTTTAAGATACTGGGGTCATTATAAAGAACACTGGATCAAGGGGCATTTGGGCCAATTATGTCTTAATTGCTTAAATATATTCTCTGTACAATCTTTCTGCATTGTAAAATTAAACACATAATAATGGACAGTAAGGATGACTATTAAGAATAGTGCACTATGATCTCTGAATGCAGGATCCAGGAGAGGCCCAGTAAGATGACCAGCATAAGGCTTGGAAAGGTGCTTTTGCGCCTTTAAGTAAACCATGATACAAAGAACAGACCAGAATTTCCAACTTGTTATGGCATTATTTTGAAGAAAGCATCCCAAACCTCTTCCAGCCATGTAGTTATTAAAAGGCACAAAAGCTCTCTTTGGGCCAAGAGAAGGTAATTTCAGAGTTAAATCCAGACCTGACCTCTCCCAGCAGAGGATGCTGTAAGGTATCAGGCAGGGCCTCACCTTCTTGGCCAGCGGGAGAAAACACGCTTGAGAGAGAGGTGAAGTTGACCAGCATCGCCTGGATACTCACGAACATACGGGGATGGGCCGGCTGGTGTAGGAGGTGCTTTCATGGCCACTGAATAATAGTCTACTGCTTTCTTGAAGCGTTCTATTTTATCTTCAGTCCTGGACTGGGGAGGAATGAGAAAGAAACGATGGAAATGACAGGGGAAAAAAAA